GGGAAAGAGAAAGAAAGACAGAAAGCAACGAGAGAGAGAGCCGACCAGCGGAGCTTTCTCGTAACCACGTCGTTGCAATGGACACGCTTTGCAGGCGTCGCTAACCCGACGACGATGAGCGCCGATCGATTTTCGTAAAGTCAGTCTGATCTCGCTTCGTGTTTCGACGCTCTCGATTCCTGCACGATATATAACTCTATACGTATAGCATGCTCCGTGCAACGCACACACGCGACAGTCTGCGAACAGCAACGAACCTTTACGATGCGTTGCAACCCCTTTCTACATACACACATAGAGCATACAAGAGCTATGTTCAGGAATGTTTATCAAGTTCGGGTAACTGTTCGACCTTTAGGTAGTCGACAATACTCTGATTCTCGCAACGATATATTTTCTTTATTTGCTAACTTCACTTTCTTCTTTTTCTTAATGCAAACAATATGATAGAAGCATATTGGTCGATGAATGTTTTTTTTCGGTACAGATTAATTTTAATTATCTTTATTTAGAGATAAATGCCAAATTTATAATACAATAGATTTAAGTAAATACGATATCGGCGTTATTTATTTAGACGATCGACTAATCGATGAATTTCATGATTGACCGAATGTGTATAAAAGATAAAACATTTTACCTTCTTTAGGCGTCCATATTGGTCTTCGTGATTGTTACCTGGAACCCAGTGTTTTCTAAAATACAGAAAATAAATATTTCACCTTGTTCGAGATTCTGTCCAGGTGGTCGGAAGTGAGAAACTCTCTCCTGTTAATAATGACATTATATTTGAAATAGTAATGTTTACAACATACAATTGCGACGTTACTACAGTTTTTTTTGTCATTTTCTTTTTCTTCCTTTAAGATAATTGATAATGTTCTCGCAAAAAGAAAAAAAAAAAGAACGGTCACACGCATCTCGCCTCAATTCATTCACGGCCATAATGTGTTTTACAGTTGCGTCTCTTCTTCCTCTTTCTCTCCCTCTCTCGCGCTCGTTTAACCTTTCTCTCTCTCCCTCGCATTCTTCATCTCTTTCGTCGGGGAACGCACGGATTTTGCGAGCCGGGATCCACGTCTAATCGCAAGTACTAACGTGTCGAAAAATAAACGGCGAAATTGTACAGTAAATGGATGTCCGGTTTTTCTTTTTCTCGTTTTTCCAACTTTCCTTTAAAGGGGGTAGGAGGAGGAGGCAATGGGCAATAGTAACCGAGCAACAGGACCGGAAATTAATTTCATTAATATATTGTCATATTGGTGTCTGTTTTATGTTCTAAAACGTTCTCCAAAAGATGGGCGAAACCGGCCCATCGGAAATCTCGGGTCACACGGACTACATAACTCTCTTCGTTCTCTCTCTCTTGCTCTTCATACTTTTTTTACTCTCTTCCTTTTTTTCTTTTTTTCTTTCTCTTACGTTTTTAGCTGATTGCTGGCTGCTGCTTCGCGCTCGTTCGCCTTAACAATAAGCAATAAGAACACGACTTAGCCAGTCGTCGAACGCCACGTGTTCGACCTGCTTTTCCTTTTCTCGTTCTTTTCTTCCTTTTTTTATTCACTCTATATGTGTGTTTTTTCGGTTTTTCCCTTTTTTATTACGCTTTTTCTTTCCTCTCACCCCTAGCAACAGCTACGAGTAGTCTCTCTTTCGCTATGTTAACGTACTGTGACCTATGGACTATGGCACTTGGTGCAACTAGTTCGGATTTCTTGGATACTGCTTACACGTGTAAGGTACTTAATTATTATCATTATTGTTAGTTATTTATATATATATATTTTTGTATTTATATATATATATTTATATGACACATGATAATTCGTGCGTTTTATTATGGTACAGGCGTGAACAAGACGATACAGTCAATTTATTCTTTGTGGCTTCTCTGTTGCATTATGCTCACAGTAGAATGACATCACTTTTAATCAGCCACTTTCTACAACAGATGATTCTAATAAAAATCCTCGATGAAGAAGTTCTTCTGTTTCTGTTACAAAATTGATTAGTTTTGTAAGTATAATAATTATTTTTTTAATTATAATTAAAATTTTTATTTATATTTGTAAATAAAAAATTAAAAAAACAAAAAAGAATCGATCGTAATAATTATCTCGAAATTTATTGGAATTAATGATCGATCTAGCAGTATTTAAGCGGTATTTTCAAAGGAGTAAAAATAAACTTGCCTGCATCGTCTTGGACAAAAACGTTGATCGAGTCCAATTATCGAATTAATATCTTTTATATCGGTTTACTAGCTAAGGAATCTATTATACACTTGAATAATACAGTTGTCGTCGCCACGCGAACATTATAGAACGCAGAAGAAGATCGAGTGCAGGTGCGAGTTTTATATTTGGAAAAAATGATCGTGCGTACGCTGTCTTCCTCTCTCCTCGCTTCTAGTATTTGAGTCGTCTTTTCAATTGCTAAATTTATTACGTCTACATCTATACAGTCTAGTCCGTCGGTTTCGCCTAAAAAAAAAGAAGAAAAAAAAAGAACAGAAGAAAAAGAAATAACAATTCTTCTCTGCATCTATAGGCCATTGTTTTCTTTCTGTGTTCTTCGTTTTAATGATTAAATAATATAATTTTATTTTTATTTGTGCACTAGAAACAAATTTCATTCTTTCAATTCCTATGCAGGCATATCCCTTACGAATTTCTGTGTATGCATGAGTTCCATGGTGCTACACAATTATAGCATTTAGCACCCATTCTTTCTTTCCTTTTTCATTTATTACTTTCTCGTACGAAACGAAAAATAATCAAGACAAATCCATACGTGTTTAATACTTTTACAATACGCATATATCGCATTGTTTCCTCCGCTTTCGATGCGTTGGCACTACGCGCGGAATCGTGTCGCTTTAATTCAATTTCGATTAATATCTTTAGTATAGAGTCGTTTCTAAATACATCGACTTCAATTATGTATTTTTTTTTCTTTTATATCATTTGTTCATTTCGTGTATCGCGACGACGTATTATAATCGACGATTTATCATCTTACATCTAGTAAACGCGAATTACGTGAAAAAAATTAGTTCGATTTATTTGTTCATAGAAAAAAGTCTCGTCGAATCCTCGTTCAACATTTTATCCTTTCTATCGGTATCGACACCGTATCTATCATTCTTCGTTTCTTCGCAGTAATTTTCTTACGTAACGTTAAAGCGTGGAAATCGAGCTTACTTAGCTAAGAAACAATGAATCACTTAAACGCGCTCTCTCTCTCCTCTCTCTCTCTCTCTCTCACTCACTCACTCTTTCTTTCTCTCCCACCCTCCCTCGCGTTCTCTCTCGTCTACTTAGAAAAGTATCTTCAAGGAGCAAAGTTCCTCGCTTTAGGACTAATATATCGATATTATTATAATTATTATTATTTACCGCTTTTTCGAACGATGTTATATGTACTTAAGTAAGATATTTACGAGTGATGTATTTACAATTGAACTTATTGTACATTTTCACGATCGATGTCTCGTGAAAAATAGATGTTTTCTTCTTCTTCTTCACTCACATATCCTTTTTTTTCTCTATTCCAATGTCTGTTTTATTTCGCTTGTATGTGACACAGTTGTCTTTTCTTTTGTCACTTCTCTCTTTTTTCCCGCGTTACTTTCGGTCGCTCCGGTCTAACCTCACAATTCTAATGCGAATCGCCCGAGTCATAAGATGCTCTCGTGCGTAAGACACTATTATAATTCCAGTTCTACCATGTATCGATAAACAGCGAACGTGATCATCGAATCAAGGAATATACAGTTCGTTCGGTTCGGAAGCACTGAACGCTTTATGCATCGAGAACGCGGCGATATATCTCGACCACGATCAATAACAAGTAGACCCGAGAATACAAAAACGATCAACTTATCGATTACCATTTCCACGTATCGACTTGTTGTACTATATGAAAATACAATGTAAGGCTGCGCTTATGCGTTTTACCCGCGAAATCGCAACTTAATCTCCTGTTTGCCGCTTTTTAAACCTTCATCGATTTCAATGTACCGGATAGTAATAATAATATTAATATTGTTCAAACTGACGTGGTGCATATCTATTGTATTTCTTAACTTGCCTTTTTTACAGTGTTCAAATTTAAAAAATATATTTGTCCTTTTATATTTTTTCTTTTTTTTTTTTTTTAGTGGATTATGGTATTCAATTGAAATAAGGTTATGGATACAACTAGTATAGAGAAATAAAAGAAGAAACGATACAATGAATCCGATGGCGGTTTAATGCAATAAATGATACACATCTGTTAATAAAACTGCGTGTTTCACCGAAATTCCTCGAATGAATATTTGAGCTGCATGAAAAATTCACTCCGGCAACTTCCGTCGTAAGATATTGATACCGATTACATGTAATATCTGCTAAGGGCATATATCTGTTAGATACCGCTGTATGTATACTATAAGAGCTTTTTTTTAGGTGTACGTTTCTTTAAGGCCATGGTATCTGTAAATCTTCCTTTGTATTACGTAAAAGTGGGAACCATTTTCAAAAAAGTTCGGAATTATTTTAGTTTCGCAAAATTGTATGTCTCTGTTACTTACGTACTTACAATTCTAATCTATAGTTTAATCATAACGCTTCCATCCGTGAACAAGCATACTATTACACAATCGTATACCTACGAATAATACACAGTTTAACAAATTCTCTCTCCCTTTTCATAGTCTGCGATGAAATTGCATAAAAAGTTAACGGATAGTGTGACTTTCGATTATTATTTTTGCTGTACAATTTACACGTAATGCTATAATTATTTTCCGACGTATCGGAAATTCGAAGGAAAAAGATAAAATATGGAAACGATCTTCACTCTTATGATCACTGATCTACACGATTTGTAAATTTGTGGCTATTGGAACTACTGTGAATCGCAATATAATTTGTATTCTTCTTAAAAGGTATGTGTTTTCAAGCGACATTGCAGTAATTGTAACAAAGCAAAAAAATTAACAGAAATCAACGGCATCGATGACAATAAGGATACAAAAAAAAAAATTAAAATTACAATTGGTAATAATATATATTTTTTATAATAGTATAATCAATGTTATGTATATATATATATATAATGGGCAAATGAATATTTACAGAATACGTCGTGGTATTAGTTTTTGCGGGTTCGTGTTTCTCTATGGTTGTTCTTTTTTTCTTTCCTTTTCTTCCCTCTTTTACTTTTGCATAGTTACGTTTATTCATATTTTTATATCTCTATCTATAGCTTCCTCCTTACCGCAAAAACGAAACCGAAAGAACTATGGCAACTAACGTAATTAATGGCAAGTTTTTTGCTGTTCGAAAGATCAGAATAAAACGTTCGGTGGACAGTTACATATGGAATGAAATGACGAGGAAAAAAAATAGAGATGTTGTAATACAATACAAAAAGGACAAAAAGAAAACGATACAAATAAAAAGGTGAAGAAAGCAAGATGATAAATAAAATGCATTTAACATAAAACCTAACGAAGGAGAGAGAAAAAAAATTTAAATACTTTGCATTCACAATAATTCCACAAACAAATACATCAGACAATGTACAATGATGGACGAACGAAACGAAATTCTAAAAAGTAATTCAGATTTTTATGTTAAATAAGAGGACACGTCGTATCTTTTCTGCAGTATACGATAACCACCGAGACTATTTTGCGGAGATTTTTTCCCCCCTTTGTGAGAATAGGTATTCACAGTAACAATTTTACGCACCGATTTTCTTTTAAACTGTAAATGCTTTATCAAACGCGTATATGTGTACACATTCAATGTTAATTTTTTATTATTCTTTTTCCTTTTCCTTTTTTTTTCTCTACCAAAGTTTCACAGTATTTCAACGATTTTCTCAGCGGAATAGATACATTCGTCTTGGGAATTTTTTTTCTCTTTTTCTTTTTATATCCAATGAATATTGGTAGTTTTTATCACGGAGATTACAATGAATTCAAACATAACAGAGATTTCTATTGCTGATCTCAAATCTTACATTCTAAAATACATCCAACAACGAGAAACAGAAGAAACATTTGAATCGTGCTGCAGCCGAGCAATGAATAGTTCGACGATCCTTTTTCTCTCTCTTTTCGTTTTTGCTTTTCTTTTTTTTTGAGAAGTTTCACGTTTGTGCAAAGACATTGTGTAACGTTCGTTTCTTTTCTTTTCTCTTTTTTCTCTTTTTTTTTCTAGATTTAATTTCTTGTTTAACTTGAGATGTGCTGATGAGATTTCAAAATAGGCGTAATGGAAGCCACTGTAGAATAGTTTCATGAGAGTAGCATAAAAAAGTAAAATCGTCCGCTGCATGTTTGGAAACGGGTTCAAAACGGCTGCTGCGCAAAACAATGTTTAGGACAAGAATACTATGATTCAACATACTTTGAAACTATGTGAGGATAGAAAAATCACAGAAAAACGCTCGTTCCTCCTTAAGTATTAAATAGCGATGATAATATTTGTGAGTGTCGGCGTTGTGAAATGCGTTTAAAAAAGACACATAAAAAGGTCGCCAGTTCTTCTTTTATAATTTCATTTTTTGTAAATACATAAACACACATTTAACATTTTTGTAAATAATACTCGAGCTAGTATTAAAAAACGATCGACAAATAAATTTTGATAATTATATTACAATGTAGAGAGCGTGCAAGAAAATTTCGATTTTCACTCGATAACGTGATGTGTTATCGTTGTTTTTTGTTTCCTTTTCTTTTCTTTTCTTTGCTTCTATTTTGCAAGGAAAATTTTTTTCTGTACTTCTTCTACTCCAAGTTTCAAATTTAATTATAAAAAATTCTTTCGTAGACAAATGTTTTTAAACAAAGCAACAGAGCATAATGAATATCTCACAAAAAAAAAAAAAAAAAAAAAAAAAAAAAAAAAAAAGAAAAAGAAAAAAAAAGATGTAAAAAGTTTGCGTTCTAATGTGCACATATGAAAAATGCCTTTGACATACGTCCTTATATTTTCAGTGCATATAACGTGTTAGACATTATATATAGTTATACTATGTATAATATGACACTGCGGTGTATAATACTACAGACCTTAGGTCGGTAAGTTCAAAGGCAGTTCTCATGTACCATTACCCATTTTCTACCAAATGATATACAAAAGTACTACATACAATAATGAATACAACGGATTCGTAAAATTTTGCTGTGCAAACAAAATTTTACTATGATGAATTCGAATATTTCGTCTACATATTTTGTATTCATTGTTTGCATAAATGGATGTGGTTGCGTCTAAAATTATCGCTAATAGGCGCTTTTTGTTCATTTTTTCGTACAAGAGTCAATCGCCCTTGAAATATAATTATAATTATATAATTAGACTTTACCACTAACATAATATTAAAAAAATCGGATTACTTTAAAAATTCGAGATTACTTTTTTTTTTAAAAACTGTTCCTTGGACAGTGTATTGTATTTTTTTTTATTTTTCTTTGTAAACTTTTCTTTTTCTTCTTTCTCACTGGTATACACCAACGTATATTACGTAAAGTTCTTTTAAATTTACTTTTTAAATATTTTATTTTGTCTTATTATGCACTTCCCCCATCGGGCAATTTAGAGCCATCACTATTCACAATACAATAATAGAATTGAAGAATTGTATATATGTGTATTATGAGGTACACTTACATTGCAAAAGAGATTCTTAGAATTGTACAGATGTTTTAGTTCCATTTTGATTATTTCAGTTGTGAATTTTACATATCACATATTTTAGACATCCGTTTTAATATGTCATCATGGATCTTCATTTTGCTTGTGCTCGCTCTCCATCCTTTGAAATTTGTACCACTGATTTATCGAAACCGCACTTGTTTTATCATTTAATTATTGTGACAGCTGCTAATTATTCTTCCAATTTTTGTCTCAAAGCTATCTGAGATGATTACTTACAATTCCATGGGTATGAATACACAATATGCACTTCTTCATGTTCTTTCTGTCTTAATGCACTAACGTGTTAAGTTTCGTTTGATTGTGAGTAGAAATTCTCGTACCATATCTTCCCCACAATATATATAATGTCGATGTGTTTCTGTTCGAGTAACGAGTCATTCATTTAATGTTACTGTCCATTCGCGTTCATTAACGATACGATTATACACAATTTACATCCACGACACTGTGTTTTATCGTAAGCTTAGAGAATTGTTTCTTTTTATCAATGCTATTGCATTGCACCAATTTTCATTGTAAACAGTTTTCTTTAAATAACGTCACGATTGTCACGTGTCCTTTTAATTATCAGCGTATACACATACGTTTTTTTTTACTTCCATCTTTTTACACATATCCACTGCACTTCGTTTTGCTTTATATATGAAGTGAAGAATTAAAGAAATTTAATGAAACGAGTCACATGGAAAGTTTGTTTCGTGTTTTCGGTTAATTACCATTTAACCGCAGTACTTTGTTTCTATTACACGTTTAAATAAATTTGATGTTATCTAATTAGTAGATTTGCTTACGTAAGAAATCCATTGTCACTTTTTCTTCTTATTTATCGACGTTTTTTTTCCCTTTTCGTTGCGGAGTTCTTTATTACATAATTGCAAGAAATAGAATCTTGACCTTGTAAAACAACTTTTAACAAAGAGCAATATATATATATATATATATATACACACACACACACATACATACATACATACATATATATATATATATATTAAAAAGAAAAGAGGAGAAAAGAGAAAAAAGAAAGAAAAAAAAAAGAAGAAAAGAAACAGTTTTCTAACAATTTTCCTTCTTCCTAATAAAATTTGTGTTACATCAGATAATGATTTTCGATATCTGATCAAACACGAATATCAATTAACATATGTTCGTTTATATTAAGATATACATCGAAACCGAGTACTAATTTCTTAATAAAAAATATACTATCTCTCGATAATAATGATGATAATGATGATGATGGTTATAACGATGATAATAATGACAATGACAACGATGATGACGATAACACGATTCAACAAACTGTCACAAATTCACGAACATAATCTTACAAAATAATGATAATACGGTTGTGATAATTTTAATCACCGCGATAATAATGAAAATGAAGCGAATAACGATAATAGCAGTGATAATAATAATAGTGATGATAATGAAATTATCGTTAATTGGAATATGTTAACAATAACCATAGCTTTACAAAATAACAATCACAATGGGGGGACACGAAGGAACAAGTGTCATAATAAAGAACTCTGCAACAAATTACTCCTTGTTTGCAATATGTTGGACTTACAGATTCAGTGTCGATTGATTGTTTTATTTAGTTTACGTTAGTTCCTAGTTGACCATAAGTGTATGTGACTCCATTGGTGCTGCACTATCATACAATGTATCTGTATCTTGTGTAGGTTCACCCTGAAGTTGACATTGATTACTTAATGTTCCAGCGCCACAGTCACAGAAAAATCTGAAAATATAAATCAATTGTCAATTTGTTGCATATAATAATTTTACAATATGATGGTATATTCTATGCTTCTTAATATAAACATCATCGATGATATGTACCGATCATGTCTAATGAATTCCACATCGTGCCCAGCATGACAGGTTTTTATGCAGTTCACGCAAATTGCATTACGATCTGTTGTATTGCATGTTTGGCAACGATAGAAATCGTGCATGGGAAAGGAGGTATACGACGAAATTTTATATAAACATTGGCCATTTCCAACTGCTTTCTCAACTGCATCTTGGTTATTAAATATTTTATTGCCTAAAAGAATAATTAATGATTACCTTTTTTTTTTTTTAATATTTATTTATCATTATGGATGTGAAGAGAAATAAGTTAACCTCTAGTTGTTGGTTGTACTCCACTTGCTAAGCATAGACCACCGAATCTATTATTGAAAATTTGATTAAATTCCAATGTTGCCGTTGCATTGTTTGTTATTTCAACACCGGCTGCTAATCCATCAAAAATTCGGTTTCTCCTTAAGACAGGGTGTGATTGTGTAGAAATTAGCACTCCTGCTTGAGCGTTACGAAATATATCATTTTCTTCAAGAACACCTGCATTGAAAAAAGAAATAAAAAATTAGTTCAATCATAAGGGTTTATTACAATTAAAAATAAAATTGAAATTTACCTTTACCGCCATTAAATATACAAATTCCACCATCTCGTCCATCGAATATTTTGTTTCTTTTTAATGTAGGATTACTATCTGTTTTAATCCAAACACCTGCCATTGCATTATCAAAAATTTCATTTTGTTCGAGTAAGCCTAATCCACTATTATACACAAGAACGCCACCGTTTTGTCCACCCCATATTTTATTCCCACGTATTACTGGATTACTTCCAGTCCTAACATTATAAAATAATTAATACATATATACAAAAAAAAATTAAGGAAAAATTTCTTTGATAATTTACCTTATTTGTACTCCTGAATACAAATGATTGAAAATATCATTGTCTTCTAGTTTTCCATGTCCATTATCATAAAAATAAACTCCAACTTGTTTTCCACTATGGATACGATTTCTTCTTAATACCGGTGTTGATCCTGTAGTTATCCAAACACCTGCTAAAGTATTCGCATATACTTCGTTTTCTTCGATTAAACCTTGTCCTTTTTCATGTACGTATATACCACCATGTTGACCATGATGTATTTTATTATGTCTAACAATAGGATCCGAATTTGTTCTGATCTGTATACCAGCTAATGCATTGCCATGAATATTATTATGTTCGATCAAGCCTCTTCCCTCTCCAAATATATATACTCCTCCTTGATGACCATTATAAATATCATTTCTACGAATAGTCGGGTTTGAATTGGAGGTAATCCAAACGCCGGCGAAATTATTTGAATGGATTCTGTTATCGATAAATTGTCCTAAACCATTCTCATGAACATAAATTCCGCCTGTTTGACCATGGTGTATTTCACAATGTACAACCGTTGGATTAGCACCAGCTTTTACTTCGAAACCTGCTATTCGATTATTATGAATATCGTTAGACTCGAAATATCCAAGACCATTATCAAACGTGAAGATTCCGACATCTCTTCCATGATGAATATGATTCCTTCGCATGATTGGATTTGCATAGTTCTTCACCCAAATACCTGCTAATGCATTTCTAGAAATTTCATTATCCTCATAAGTTCCTTGTGCATAATCAGTGACATAAAGTCCAACGTTTTCGCAATCCGATATGTCACAATTCTTCACTACAGGATTTGCTCCTACGCCCGATACGCAAACAGCTGCTCCAACTAAAAAATTAGAGAATCAACAATTTAAACAAGTTTCAACAATAAGAATCAACAAATTAAAAAAGAAATAAATGTATAACTTAACGAATAAACTTTTTTACAATAAAAATATTACATACCAACACTTGAACTCCTAATAATACAATGATCAACCGTGGGACTGCAGTTTTCGCCAACTTCTAAACAATAATGTTTATGATGCGGTACTGTACTAGTAACGTCTGGGGTAAACTTTAATGTGAGATGGCCGGCATAAGCTCGTTTTGCTCCTTCTACAAACATAACTGTAGATTCACTTTCTCGTTCTAATATAACAGATTCTGCCACGTTTCCGGGTGCTGCTCCAATTAATGCAACATCACTGTCGATTACAAGAAATTCGCCTCTATATATCCCAGCATGTAAGAAAACTAAATGTTGAGGTGCTTCTTCTGCTGTCTGGGAATTGTTTCCACAGCAATTCCCTTGACCATTTGTAGTTGTGCTATTATTTGACGAGGAACCGCTATTGCTTCTATATTCATCTACATAATCTAATGCTCCCTGAACTGTATTAAAGTATGGCAAATTTCGACCTTTGAATTTCAAATCCTGAAATCCAGGTCTAACGTGTACTCCTCTGTATAATTGTCTAAAGCTTTCTTTCCATGGATTTGGATAGTCTGACTCATCCGGAGATACAAATTCAAATTTACAAGGTGCAGGATTAAATAGTGGTAAGTCATATTCATAAACTTGTTGATAGAGGGATTTCCATAGTTCAGTGTCATTTGCAATTGTTTGAAAACGTTTGCAAACCTGAGAAACTCTACATAGATCCTGTTCCATTAAATAATTAAATATAGTAAGCAGCACTTCATCTGGTAATTCATATTGAAGGTAATGTGCTGCAGAATTTGTGTTTGTACCTGTAAAATAATGGAAGACTTTAGCATTTGTCAATTAAAATAATATGCATATTGAAGTTAAACTATTAGTAAATATACCATCTGTGGATAATGAACAAGTCCGCCTGGGCCGCTTTCTTGCTGGTAATGAGGAAGAACCAAGAGTGGCTCCTATACTACTGCCACCTGAAGGAGGTAGGGCAGAGCTGGTACCAGGAGCAGGATCCGGATGAGGAGGACTTTTACGTCTTAAATCATATGGGGACGAATGAGAATGTGATGGGGAAGGTGATGGTGCTGCAACACCAGAAACACTAGGTGATGATCCTCTTCCACCGCTTCCACCCCCACCTCCACCTCCTCCGCCTCCTCCTCCACCACCAACTCCACCACCAGGAGGTATCTGATTTGATGCTGAACATGGCAAATCGCATGGCTCGGCTGAAAAATACAACAATCGTACAGCTAATAACATTATATTCAGTGTTTTGATATTACATATAAAGTATTTATCAAACTCATAATTAATTAAAAAAAAAAGAAAATAAATATAAACATATCTTATGTTATATAATTCTTAATTATAGTTATTAATTGTCCTATTGAATGAAAGTATATTTGTTTCAAATTTGTAAATCAAGATTGATTAGAATATATGCTTTGAAATTTCAAAATTACATTAAAATTATAATTAATTATTAAAGTTACAAAATAATATTAAAGTTCACATTATTATTTGTGAAAATGAATTACTAAATATCAAGACAGATTATAGAGGATAAGATTAACAGCCTATTAAATTAATTATTTATTGTTAGATAAATAAAGAACAGATAGCTAATGGTTTTTAGAAAATACTATTGTACGTGAAATCATCATTCCATGTATTTAATACATACATATGCACGCACGGACGTACACACACCACACACACGCATACGGGAGCGCGCGAGCGCACACCTACACACACACGACGCACATACCAATAATTATTAAATTACATTTTACAAAAGAAATATTCTAATCTTAAAACGACAGCAATATTTCCAATGATATATGAAGAGTATGTAAAGTGTTTTGAAAAAGTAGAACATTATACTAATTTAACACAAAATCTGTAGTTAATATCAGATTGAAAGGGGCTTGACCTTTTGCCTTGAAATTACGAAGAGATTATTTTTCGAAATCATGCGAGCATCGTTCTTAAGTTTTGTACAACTGAATATTTAATAAATGAGAATTACAAAAAAAAGGGGGGTGGGGTGAGGAATAGACTTTGAGCCGACATTCCAGAGTAAAAATTGACGATCGTGAAGTACGCGATATCATGATCGATGTCTCCGAAAAAAAGGGTTGTGGTAAAAGTGGCGAGCGTATGTTGATTTTGGGAAACGTCACTGAAGCATCAGTTCTGCGTTTTTCGGCCATCCCGAGTGTGAGAAAATCATACGAGAGGATGTGGGCAGTGGATTTGACGGGGTTGTCTTACGAGTTCCGATAGTAAAATGGAAATACAATTGACCAGAAGGATGTCGTTTAATTGGTACCATGTAGAATTGTTAGGATGATTAACCAGAGAATATCGAAGTAGGTGAAGGCAAAGAAGAGAGTTGAGACAGGTGAGCAGTGAACCGAGCTCCGGATGCAGGGCTCTTACCCGAGGTGGTTCTCGAAGGCAGAGGAATCCTGTTTGCACCTTTCCTTCGGGATCTTCGCACGTAATTGCGCGACGATGTGAACGACGCACTTGGCATTTTTATCGTGTTTCCCGTAAAATTATGCGAGAAACGGTAAAACAACTAAACACTAAACAATGGCGACACTTCCACCGAGCCCAGCGGCCATCTTCTCATTGACGGTAGGACTGCCGACTGGTGCCAGACCGCCAATCGGATGAATTTCTGTTCTCCCCCTCTTTCCTCACCAACCTCCCTCCTTCCTATGCGATCCTTCTCTTGCCTTCTGCCCCTTACCGATTCCCTCTTCTGCAATGGATCGCGACACAAGCAACCAACATCAGTATGGAGTTATGGAGACGGCGGACCGAAATACTGATTTGTCCTGCATAACCGCAATTCTATCATGTTTCGTTCTCTCAGTGATGTACGTCGCGAGCCTCTATATATGGAATTCTCCGTATAGTAGGTATGTATGCCGATTAACAGCGATAAACGTCAATCTTTAAATGTCCATTTTGTGTAACCGTGTATGCTCTCTCGGTCCTTTAACAGTGAACCACAGGAAACCACGAACAAAGTGTAACTGTATTCACGTCGACCGAGAACATGAATGTCTACTCTTTGATTCTCCCATTCACGCAGTCGCTTTTCTGGACAAGAATCGAATCCACAGCGCCTCTATTGGAGAACTTTTTCCTTCAATTTCTTCCGTAATTGGCGCGCCATTTGAAAGCGACTATGTGAAACTAAATTGTTTCTTGTTGATAATATTGATTTTAATTACTTAACTATATATTTAACAAATATTTTGAGTTTTATTATCCTATCATTTATTATTAAAATTCTCTTCTTTTTTAAAACTTTTCCATTTATTAGATGTCTCAATTAATAAATAATGCTTTAATAAAATCATCTAAATAATAATTAATGTTTTAGAAAGAAGAGTAAAATCAATAAAACTTTTGTAAACGTATTTTTTATTTCAGAGAGCATCCAACAGTAATAAAAAAAAGATTTTTTAGTGTTTTTATTGTGTCCCTTATATCTCCTGCATTATTGTATTTTGGAATAAATGAGAAAGTATTTCAAAAGGTAATCATATGTAATGATATTACTAAATACACAGTAAATTCCATATTACAGTTTATAATTTTTAGGCAACAATCTGGGAGTTATTGGGTCTACGATGGCCTGGTTTAATTCAAGCAATTGTGATACCATTGTTATTAACAATGATACTATTTCTAGGGCCAATATGTGTGCAAGGTTTCAATGGACTTCGGAAATTATATACTGGTTAGTATTGTAAAATGATTAAATTTAAGTATTTATTTGTATTTAAATAATTGAGTATTTAAATTAAGAAACTAAATAATTACAAATCATTATACAGCTATATGACCTTTTTTTTTATTTTTATAGAGCCTATGTATTGGCTTGGAAGTATACGAACAATAATATGGTGGAGAAATCTAGTAGTTGCTCCTCTGACTGAAGAATGGACTTTTAGAGCATGTATGTTACCATTGCTTTTGCAATGTTGTACTCCAACTACTGCCATATTTATATGTCCTTTATTTTTTGGCATTGCTCATTTTCATCATGTAATAGACTTGGTAAAAGCAGGCATGAATCTTACAGATGCATTTTTTATATCTTGTAAGTACTTCTAATTTAATACAAATATATTATTAAACTTATTATAATACATTTTTGACCTAGGTTTTCAATTTGCGTTTACGACACTGTTTGGAGTATACGCTGCTTTTCTATTCGCTAAGACAGGTACAGTATGATTTTAATAAATTTTTATAAACTCAATTTTATACATTTAACAATTTTTATATATTTCTTTAATCTGAAGGAAATACATTTTTTATAGGACATTTAGCAGCGCCGTTTACGGCACATTCTTTTTGTAATCATATGGGATTCCCTGATCTTTCTGAAGTAGTTGCAGTTAAAGATCCATTAAAAAGAGCTGGATTATTTTCTTTATTTGTTATTGGTTTAGCAGCATGGTGTTTTTTATTAACACCAATGACAAATCCAAGATTATTTCATAATAATTTATTTTGGCATAAGAATTTTATATGAGTGTGATTTATTTGCAACAATGTCACTAATGTTATGTACAATTTTTATAAGAAAAAACTAGTCTAGCTCGAACTGATATTTTAAGAATTTATATTGCATGATATTTTTTTAAAAAGTATTTGTTACTTAAAAAATTGTATCTCATACAAGTTTACGAGACTGTTTTGCAAATTATATATTATATATAGGTACAATTTTATGAAATATAAATGTACTTTTGTAAATTAGATGCTAATCAGATTCGTGTAATGCAAGATTTTTTATTTTTTATTTCTTGTCATGTTTTACATAAGGTAATCACTGTGCAAACAAATTACCATAGGCAAGTTAATCATGCAATATAGAACTAATATAAAATCACCGTAGTGCCTCAAATTTAATTCAATTTACATAGTTATAATCATGAATGCCAATAAAAATTTAGGCAAAGTTCTTGAAACAAAGATGTTGATAAAATATTGTATAGTTAGAAAGGTATGACATTGTTACAATAAACAGTGTTATCTTGAATTTATAGAAGAAAGTTATTTCCATAAAAATATATCTTTTTGGAAATTTTTTCTGATATGATGTACAAGTATGAAAAAGTTTTTATTTTAAATTTACTTAACTGTTTTCTACTTACATATACAGAAACATATTTACATTCTTATCAGAACTAAAAATATATACATTTACTGTTTATTTAAATCACAGAAATAACGGATAACAGTATTATAATAATTGCCATAAATGCGTATAAGTATTTATCTAGCAAAAAAGATACCAGAAAATATATATAAATTTAAATACCGGGAAAATATTTGTTTATACAAAAGAGACCATTTTAGAACTCATTATTACATGTATCTTATACAATGTGTATTGATCTTGTACATTTGTTGCGTACATTTTAATCACAATTTCTTGTTGATGACATAAGTTTTTCTTGAAGAAAGAAAAACTTAAACTGTTAAATGAAATATTTATGTAAATATTTACATTATTTTAAATTGTAAATTTATTCAATAAAATTTGATATATTTTGAATATATTTAAAAAACGGAATCTATAACATGAATGAAGTCATTTTTTTTATAATACAATAATATAAAATATATAACTGTAAAACTTTTAGATTAGTTTAGAGTATTCAAAATTATAGCTTGCATCTTATATAATATTACAATATTTATGTAAGAATAATATAAAATGTAATGTTTCAAATAATGCAAAGTGCATATTATTTCTTAATATCTAACATATTTATAATTGTTTATCATTACAATTCTTATAAATATACTGCTATATCTAACAAAATATCACTTTTATATAGCATTACTTACAAACAAGATCGTTTCTTTTATTTCTTTCAAAAATTATTAATCAAAATTAAAAATCTTAACAAAATTTTTATACTAGGAACTATAACTGCAAATGTTTTCTATTCAAAAATAGAAATAAATAAATAAATACTTAAATAAATAAGTCATTTTTGGACGTAAAAAATCAGTTCTTAAAACTTCTATGAAATGCTTTTTTTTGTATTACCTTTATGTTTGGCTAGCTCCAGGCGTCGCATCGGAATTTTGCGACTGATTAAGAAACAATACATTACTAGTCTTTATACTTGGACCTGTAGATATATGTGATGGACATGGACTAATACATGGTGTTGAGGAATGGCTGTTACTTAAATCACATTGATCTAATAACTTCCAAAGTTCTTCTGGTGTAGGTCCACCAGAAACATCTGTAATCAACATTCTTTGTACAATGATTGATATTACTAGATTTATTAAAAAAGGAAAAAGTAATGTTACTTTGGGTAGAAGAAAAAGATGGCTCTAAAGCAGTTGTAAGATCCCACATTTGAATGGTACCATTAGTATGTCCAGTAAATATAAAACGTCTAGGTCTTGAACCCATACGGCTAGATCCTTCGCATTCATGTACGTAAAACGAACTTATGATACTACCATCTACTGATTTAATTACACAAACTCTCTTTCCATTTGACGCTAAGCGTACAAACAATTGATCAGTCTCAGGTACAACTTTTTGAACAAAGACTTGTTCATCATCTTGTTCTCCAAATGGTCCTGTGTTTTGAAGGGTAGCAACTTTGTTACACAGTTAACAATATTATGATTATTTTTCATATAATAATATACCAAAATCATTTCCAGCATTGTAACTAATGCAAGAGTCAATTGCTTCTAAAGATACAATTTTAAAACTAGCTTCAGGTGTTGATCCTGGTTGAGTAGAAATCATTCCACGGAATCTCGTTACCGCCCAGCTTCTAACATGATTGTATTCTGAACAGACGGACACTAAATATTTTTCTGATAATGTTACCTATAATAAAGTTTAATACATATGTATATAATTAAAAAAAATTATAAATTTGTTTTAATACACATAAATATATTTTATATATTTTATATATTTATGTTATAAAAGTAAACATACTTTTGTTACACTACTCTGATGTACTGTAAATGTTTGAAATAGTTGTGGGCCATGTCCTACAGTTTCAGGATGTTGAACTATAACTCTAACACTGCCAGATTTTGTGCCATATGCAATTTCAATCCAATTACCACAGACAGCTGTATAAACAAATTATAAAATAGCAATATATACGTTTTAAAAATGTTCAAATTTTTTTATGTATCTACATCTTTGAATATAATATGTAAATGACATGATACAAATGTTACACATATCGAAAATTGTAATACTGAAGAAAGATATGCATTTATAATATATTTTTATTAATATATAATATAAATGACCTACACAGATATTACATGCGTTATAACGTAACGATTAAGAAAGAATAAGTATCCAGAAACAGTTATTTAGTACATTTTTTTAAATAGTATATGTATATTATTTATACTCCGATAAAACTTTATTATATGTGCTAGAGAAAGTGATAAGTATAAAAATGTCTACAATGTATATAACAAAATTATAATTTATAATGTACATAATGAACAAAATAATGTTGATATGCATTTAGAATTGTTTGAAACGAAGGATAATTATGCAAGCAAAGGTATATGTATCTATTCCCTTCCCTTCCCCTCGCAGGTGTTGCCATAAATATGTTATATTGTCACTTAAGTTAAGTATTAATAAAAGAAAGAAAAATAAATGAATGTGTTATAAGTACAACTGGATGCATAAGGACAGCGGGGCGTGCAGTCTACGACAATAAATAATTAAAAGAGTTTTGAACATATTTCTTATTTTTGATTATAATTTATTATATATGTATTATCTTTTTACGTATGCATATTGTAATGTAAATTAATATAAATAAAGGCTACTTTTTTGACGTATGTAAATATATGCACAAAGAGTTTTAATTAAAGGTGCTGTTAAAAGCAGTATATGAATATGTATTTGTGCACTGATTTGATGCAGAATGACATACAATACCTGGAGAGGAGGGGTATGGACACTAGTATTCAAAGTTATGTGTTATGTTCAATGCAATATAAAATATATAAAAATATATGTCAACTGCGACTTGTGAAAATATTGTAGAACATTGTCAAATCAACCCATACTTGCCTTGTGCTATTTATCCAGTTGTACGAAATCATGAAGCAAAGAATGTAATAATAAACTCTCATTAATATTCAAATACATTATTTAACTTCATAATAAAACATAGAATGTTCGTGTTTGAACAAATATGACATTTATTGGTGTGTTATTCTATTAAGAGAAAATTATGCTTCCCATTACAAAGAATGAATGCATAATAGAATTTATGATTAAAATTGCTCAGTTAATATACTACTATATAAAATACAATCATTAATGATTATAAAAAAAATATTTATTATAAAAGTGACGTTTGTTATTACATTCCTCAATATAAGCAGATTTAATAATTAAATTTTAGTCCATTTATTTGTACGCCACTGGAAAAGATATTTCTGCAATAGAAGTACTGTAATATTCAATGTTATGAACCATGAATTAATCATCATTTTCCTTGAATTTTTTATTGTTAACTATTTATTAAACCATTATTGTGACATGATAATATGAAAACTTACATGTTTTTGGTGTTAAATATACAGATATAGCTGTAATGGGATCATAATTTGGATCACGGTATAATTCAGTTACAAGTAAATCATTATCCTTCATTCTTAAGGGAAATTTTTCCATATCTGAAAATTACTTTTGTATATATTTATACTTAGAAAACTGATTTCTATTTTAAAAATGTTCATGTATATTACCAATATAGTAGATAGATCCATTATTGCAGCCTAACAGAAGAAATGAACCAGCTGTATCAAATGACAAAATAGGTACAACATCTTGTATTTGCCAATGATGTGTCATAGCATGCCATACACCAATTTTGTCAAGTGGAGATAGAGCAACTAACTGGCTTCCAATAAAAAATAAATATTCTACACGAACATTTAAATTGAATGTGCCAATATTAGTTTTCATTCCATTTGCTGAAGTACTCCATAACCTGACTTGATTTCCATAAGAAATAGCAACCATTTTAACATCTCCACTAGTACTTAATTTTGATGTTATTGCCACTCTTTCAATTACTGATTCAATGTAAGGACTGGTAAATGCATGTTGCCATCCAGATGAGTCTTTAAGTCGATAACATGTTATAAAATGAGCATAAGCAATTACAATCCAATTGTGATGTGCTTTTATAATTCTAACTCTCAATGGATCAACCCATGATGAAACTATACAAAAAAAGTTTGTTAATGATTTTTCATTGAAATCATAAATGAAATATTTTTATTTATTTACCTTGTTGTGGACCAAACACTAAACTTATATCATTTTTATGTAATTTATTTAAGTCTGCTGAATTATTTCTAACATGCCTCAAATCTAAAGATGATGTACGGGAATGTGGTAAGCCTTTTTGTTGAATTCTATAATCTAATGAAGAATTTCGTATATGACTGCTAAGTAACCCTTTATGATTTTGTTGTCCTAAAGTAAATATCTATTAGGTATTTGTAATAATTTATAGACAAATTAAATTAATTAATATTTGTTCAATACCATTATTATTATGGCTACTAGATGTTCCAGGCATAGTACTTTGAGAGGTAGATGGTACATCTACTCTAGAATTAGTGTTATTAGTTACAACTCTGCCATGAACAGATACATCTCCTACATTTGAGGCAATAGCAGTAGGTTCTTGCAATGGTATAGCTTTTCAATTATAATATAATAAATATAAGAGTTTTATTTCATTTATTAGTTATTTATAAGAGAAAATTGATTAATCTTACTTGCTGGTGGTAGATAACCATAAAATAAAACATCTCCACAAGAAGACTGAGTTAAGTCTTCACACAGCATTAATCTTTTTACGAGTGGAGTGATACCATAATATTCAGCTTCATGTCTCAATGTACGAAGATCTACATTTTTCAAATCAATATCCTTTGTACGAAGATAATTCAATATAATAGAAAATAATTTTGGATCTCTATCTATAAATAAAGCACCAATTTCATCTCTGTGACTGGCAATTCTATTACTTAATAGGGCTGTAAAAAATGAATCTGGAATCCAAGTTAATGTCTGCTTTGATGTTGAAAACCTAAATAATAAATAAATTAGGTCATTAACGAAAGAATTTATCTATAAATCTTTACAGGTTGTATAAAAGTATTTATTTACTGACTAAGTGTTAAAAGAAATAATGTACTATATAGTGTTTGAAAGCTATTAAACATCTTTGTTTGTACCTTGTCCCACCAACGTTCAAATGTACGATATCGCTAAGACCAAAAGAAGGAGGTACGGCCATTGTTATAACTGATTCAAACACCAATTTTTATTTTGATAATACATGTCTTATTTTAATACTTATCAAACAATTAGAGAATTACAATCTACTTTCCATAGGTTATGAACACTAACTTTGGCTTTGCTGTAAATTTGCACATGCGTCGTAAGTGTTACTCTAAAGGAACTAAAATTCAAACTATTTTTTCGTATCAAATGCTTCCTTATGAAATTCAAATAAAAGAAAAGTATTAAAGACAATATTAAATATTAAAATTTTTGTTAAAGTGTTAATAAAAAGTTATGTAGTTAAAACTATTCTTATTTTTTCTATTAGAACAAATGAGAATATTTAGTCTACAGCTGTAATACAGCAATGTACAGGATAGACCCCATCAACCAATGCATTCTTCTGTCTCTGCTGTGAATATAGAGTCAATGTTCCATTTTAGTGTCATTTTCAATGTTACGGATTTGGTAAAGTAACTTCAATTACGAAATTATATATACGATATCGGATAGGATATTTTTTAATTGTAAACGAAAAATAGAAATTTATGTTTGAGTAAGTTGTTTATTCTTATATAGATTGGAGGGGAAAATAAACAATGATTTTGGATAGAATTTATTGTCACGAGATACAAAATGAGATGCAAAATAAATCTAATACTTAATGTATTTTTGTGTTATGCGTTTTAGAAGCGTTGGAACCCCATTACCATTTTAATGCCATTTCCAATGTTACCGATTCTTCAATTAAAGCATACGATTTACCGATCGTAGATTGATTCATCCCATCAGAGCAGTTTACTGCAATCAAGTTTCTATAGTTCTTGTATAGGTGACACTACATCATTTCATATTTTTAGGTCGATAAGGTAGTCAAAGTTGAGCTGCGAAAATCCGTATAATGTTAGGTTCATCCTATACTTAGCCTGTGTTAGATGGATACTGAAAAATTATTTCGACGGCAATTCGCATACCACGTAATTGAACATTCTACTATTTCTTTTACACTAATTATTTTCGGTACTGAATCGATAATGTCACATGTGATAAAATAATAAAGGAAATAATAAAGGAAAATAATAAAGGAAAGGTCAGCAGACTATTAAAGTTATTTAAAAAAAAGCAAAGAATTGCTTATGATATTTGTTTTATATCTTCTATATAGTTTTAAATCCATAGAGATGATGGATAAGAAAATACATCGTGTGATAAGTCCAATCTATATCTTAAAGTGTAAATTCCTATTTTTCGATTATCGATAATGAAACCGATGATTCATACGTGAAAGTTTGTGACACCTCCCGTAAGGTGGCTTGATATTTGTATTTTTCAAGAAACCTGTCCACTAACAATATTGAAACAAATATTACTTTAAGGTGTATGTACTTATTGTTATTTAAAAATCGTAAAAAATATCAACAGTATTAATCACTATTATATTTTAATATCATAATTATAACTAAATGTCGTTCCTTACTTTATTTTATTGGTAGTATACAGATATAGCCAAACTTTCGTATGCATCTCCATTCTAAAATTCATAAAATAAAGACGGAAGGAGAAGGACTAAAGACGGTATAGAAGAAAAGATTATACACTGTCGTTTTAACGAAGTTGTACATTTTCGTAAAAGACAGTTATCTTTTTACACGTTAAGCTATTCTACTTCCTGCGAAAAGAAGTTGCACGCAATACCTATACTCACCGCGAAGTTTCAATTACCATGAACCATCTGCGATGGAATAACTGTTATTTACCTTACCGATCGATCTCGTATTCGATCGCTCGCAGCAACATCTTCCGCAATTTCTCGGAGTACACGGTCAGATCACTTGACCGAGCGAATCGTGATAGGACGAACAATTCTATTTTATCGTAAATTAAATAATAAATTAGATAAGAAACCAAATTCATTTGAAATTCATATCAAGACATGGAAGGGAATGGCAAACTGTTCACTGGTGAGGATTACGATAAACTGATTAAACCAGTCATGTTAACCGGGAGGATTATTTCGATTTGGCCATTGGCAGAGGATAGTAGCAGGGCAACGATACTGTTTAGGAAATTACATCTGTTCTGCATGTTTTTCTTAGTAAGTACATTCTTCGAGTAAACTTGTGAATTAATTCCGAGTTGAATTTAAATCACGGCTGTATCGATATATACGAAAATTCACAATGACAATTAGAATTAGCGGTTATTTTTATCAACATTAAGAGGAGAACATCGAAGGATTTAATTTTTAGGTGGTGGCGATGTCCATCGCAGTGACGGCCGACGTGATTCACAATATCGATGACTTGGACGAGGCGACCGAATGTGCACTGATTTGTACAGCGTTTTACCTTTGTATAGTTCGTTTGGTAGTGTACTCATACCATCAGAAGGATATGCTTTACGTGATGAACACGATGAAAGAGGATTGGATTTCGTCCTCAGATGAAGATCGGATCATTTTAGCGGAGAAAACGATGTTTGCTTTTCGTCTCGCAAAATATTTCATCAGTACCGTGGCTGTAACTATTGTGTTATTCATGTGCGTTCCGATTTTAGAGGTATGAAAACGTTTCAATTCAATTTGAGAATTTAGGTAAATTATACGTGTGTTTGGAAGAAAGGATTCAAGATTTTAAGTAAAAAAATTATGTACGATATAATTGTATATATATTGTACAACAATATATAAAATTATCATTGCAGATTTACGTAATTGGAGCTAACGAGAAAGTACTTCCTTTTCGAGGTTATTTTTTCATCAATCAATCCGTATCTCCAGTTTTCGAGTGCCTTTATCTATTTAATGTAACTGCTGGTGGCTTTGGCGGAAGCATGATCGCCGGTGCGACTAGTTTCAATTTGGTAGTAATAATGCATGGCTCCGCCAAGTTTGCGGTCCTGCGGAAAAGGCTGGAGGCTCTAAGCAGCGAAGATCCCAACTCTACCGCCATTATGGGCAGTTACGTGATTCGTCACCAGGAGGCGATAGAGTGGGCTTCAATTGTCCCATCACGAATTTGCACGTTAATTAATATCAGTTTCTATCATCGCGAAGTGTCATAAATTTATTATCATAGTAGCATAACAATATTTTTCGAACTTTTCAGTAATCGTAGGAATTTCTTTTTCGTCAATATTATGGATATTGTACGCCGCTTTATATCTACATAGAACAATCTGTTTACAGATACGCGGATGCACTGGAAAGGATCATAAACATTTTAGCTTTGGGACAATTCGTCATTAGCACTGGCTTGATTTGCTTCGCTGGATTCCAGATCACCTCGGTGCGTCTGCTTGATGCTCACGAGTCAAGGCGTCTTCGATAAAAAGTAACCTTTCTAGATGATGGAGGACAAGGGTCGCCTGATGAAATATTCCACGTTCCTCAACTCTGCCATTCTCGAGCTGTTCATGTTTAGTTTCAGTGGAAATGGCCTAATTGACGAGGTAAGCAAGAAGGCTAGTTTTGATCTTGGCGAATCGATTTGCGATACGGAAATGATCGTTGATTGACGATATTACAGAGCGAAGCAGTGGGTATATCAGCTTATGGCAGTGGATGGATTGGTAGCCATTTTTGTCAGAGTCTCCAGATCATGATGATGCGCTCGAGGATTCCCAGCAAGATAACTGCAGCGAAATTCTACAGCATGTCCTTGGAGAGTTTCTCAGCGGTGAATAAAAATCCCTGTTAACTTTTTTTAAAGAATCCTTCCTGAGGTTGATAGGGATATCAGTGTTATTTATTATGAGAAAGAAGTGGTCGTTTCGCTTGAGCGTTTGAAGCTCTTTCTTATGGAATTTCGTGTGTTTTGCAGGTTCTGAGTACGTCGTTCTCATACTTCACGGTTCTCTCAGCCACCAAAGACAATTAATCGTCGCACTGATCAACGTAGCCATTCGTACGACACGCTTCGCGATTGTAGCCGGTGTCCCTTGATGACTCAACTTACAGAGAATATATACTTTAGTCGTACCACTAGCCTAAAAATATCCGTGTAAAAGTCGCCCGAAAATTCGCGTTGATCTCCACGTTCGTTGCTTCAGATCGATAGATGCATTTCGGGGTAGATCATGTTCAGAGGCAACAGGGATCGAGGGAAAAACTTTTACAATAAACTGGGAAACAGGATTTCCAACGATAGTCGATTATATATTCATTGATGGATTACTTTATTCCGTTATCATTATTAGTTTATTCGTACATGAAAGGCATATTTTCTTATTTATGACGTTTGCCTGCGAAAAGGACATCTATCTTCTTACGAGATCAAATGGATGTCGTACGATGTGTACATACTGTACAAACTCGATGTGCCTACTCATCATGTCCATAATCTTGCATGGTATTTACTTAAGCGTGTTTATCAAACACTCAGCTTATTATGAGCGTATACATATCTCAAAACATGCTACGTTTACTGCCTTACGCATGATTCCTTAATTATCCTGAGTAGTATAGATTCACTTGGAGATATTCACAAAAGCAGATTATGCTGACATTGACGTAAACTTTGACTATTATAATCAGGAGATCCCAAGGTCAAGCAACGTGATTGCAATTAGAATACACGTGAACTAATATCTTGTGTTTGTATCAGAGGACAAGGATTTTTTTATCGAGCGATGCACAACAATTTTCAAACGAGGAATTGACTAGAAACATGGTTGAAACAACAGGAATGGAGTATCCACAGGAGTTTAAGCAAAATGTTACGAGTTCGGCCGAGTTCTCTCTGGGTGGGGTAAACCATCAGCGAATGGTCTTGGAAGCGACTCGAGGGTATTTTCATCGCAACAGTACAACACGTGCACCCGGCCAGTGCGCGCACAGCTCCTCCCGGTTTCTCTTATCCGTGTGTATCGTTGTTCAATCGTTGAACCGTGACGGTACAAAATGTAACGTGGACGATCTTCAAACATTTCATCGCTGTTGGACGCTCCGATCGTTTTCGATCGTGCTGGCTAGATGTGCTCGCCGATACAAAGCATTTAACTACGATGGCTGTCAGCTGATGTCGATTATTGTCGTCCACGCGATGGCAATATGGCGAACATCAAGGTGGCAGTTCGTGTAAGACCGATTTCTGCGAGGTGAGTATTAGAACGAATTGATCGCGTGATAAAATGGGCATAGGAGAATATTTCTGTTTACGATCGAAGGCAAACAGATTCGAAGAGGCGTGACTTACATGTGACACAGAGAACCGTTCGGAAATCGAAGGCAACATTGAGGGAAAGGGGTAAAACGTACTTGCGGACTAATGAAATATGTTTGTCGAAAATTCCAGGTCTGTTACGTACGTTCGCAGCCGATTTCGTCGTTAAGCTCGCGTCTGTTGGTAAGTTGCAATGTATTTTAAGAAAGAAGCGAAAACCAACGGAATCTATGCCGAGTCACGTTCTCTTTTCCCGTCTTTCTAATGCGCACACTTTCCTCAGGAGCTGAGGTCAAGGTTGACCCTCTCGTTGTTTACCGCAATTTCATTTTTACCAAGCGTTTCGTTCCACAGTTTTACGAGGACCGTTTAGTAATCGACTGGTGTCTGTTGGAAACGCAAACACAAACACGCGTCCGAGGAATAATTATTTCGAGCTTGAGGGCGGGACAAAACGGGGACAGAAATCTGGGGGCAGATTTATAGGGGTATAGCGGTGCGCCTTTGAGCCGCTACTTATGAAGTCGTTTCTATACTTAGAAGATGGGGTCAGAACGCCGTGAAAGTAAGACAAACTAACAATTACTTGGGTAGCGAGCGTAATAATCACGGTTAACGACGAAATTAGGGTCATCGGCAACCGTGGCCATCGTGTATCTATTATTAAAGTAGAAACTTCAAGAATTTCTTTCAGTACTTCCATTCCATTTCAGTATTATTTAATAATCTACGAATACACTTTAATACTTTTATAAGTACCAATACTTCGAATAAATATGTAAATTGGTATACATATCTGGTCACTTATCCGAGTAGGTGACTTCTGAGAGTTCGATGGCAGGAGAAAGGCAGCGATATTTGATGCGAGTGTATATTCGTATTAAACTAGAAGGTATGCAATAAAGTTGATTCTAAAAATTAGCCAGAACAGTGAACGCTAAAGTGAGCAGAAATTTGGACATTTATGCGGGCAGACTGTATATAGTTAACACATTAACCGTCGTAGGGGTCTCCACTGATGGCGCTTAATTCGCTAGTGACGCCATGATGGTTCTTGGTGCTCGGTGATTCCAGGATTAACAAAAGCGATGTTATTGTTACAACGACGCAAAGAAACAAGAGTATCATAAACCACACTAATAATTATATTTCTAACTACGTACACACATGTATAATCTACTTACTTACCAAGTTAATTAACTCCACAGAACAGAAAGCAGGAACTTGTTTCAAATTTATTCCAAATGCACGTTAGACACGAACCAAATGCTTTGACGTTAAAATGAAAGAAAAATCGAGAAAGTGGAGTTAATGACCTTGGCCGTAGAATAGCTCACACTAGTATATATAATGACAGAACAACTACTAATTCCAGCACCAGGGTGCAAGTTATTACTTAGGATTGGTCCTGCAACTAACGGATGAACGTTAAAAGGAAGCTCGTCTTCGACTATGAAAGATTGGACGTAGAAGGCAGAAAAATCTGATAGTAAGATCAACGTGGACCTAAGCGAGACTACGAGGAACCACAACGAAGAGAGTCGTCGATGGGTTTATTTAAAGCAACGAATTTCCCGGTGCAGCCTTTGCCGATCCAGGGGATGCTCGTGCGATAAAGGATCGAGCGACCGTGGAGTGACGTACTACGAGCAGCACGAAACGCTGATGACACACGGCTAGACAGTTTAACGACTCGAAACAGGAATAGCGGGAGAGGAGCATTCATTTTAAAATAACACTTGACTGTGTCGGGTTCACGAGGCGCCTTCGCGCGACGGAAGAGGACGAAGAGGATAATAACAAGCTGCTGCTATTCGCGTACGCTGCCTCGGTTCATTCAAGACCTTCCCTTCATCGAGGCTTCCTTGGGTCGAGCCATGTGTGCTCCTCGAAGCTTTCCGTGCCCGTGCAGTACAAGTATTCCCATGAACGCGTGCGCTTGTAACTTCATTCAGACCTCTTCGACCGTTTTGTCCGACAATCGAGACGCCACTGTGAGCGGATGGATCAGTATTTGAATCTCGCGGGCTCTTCGCCAATCCACGATTAATGAAATTGATAGACGCGAATGGGAATTAGTCTGTGCCGAACAGAGTCGTGTAGCTATTCGGAATTTTTAACCTTCGAAGGTTGCTGTGACTTCGCTTCGAATTTTGTTTTAATCGCATCGAAAAATGTAAATTTTATTTCAATATTTATTTACTGTCTGCGGCGACGCTATCATGAACACGATTGAAAGTGCTGGCGTGATTTTACGGTAAATAGCATTTCGGGATTATTCGGATCTTTTATTGTTTCTATTCCATGAACATTTATTTATACACCGTGTTTCTATTTAAAGAAAATTGTTGTTATTTTTCTATCTTTATCTGGTAGTAAAAGTCGGCCAGTTGTGCAACGATTTTTGGGCCACATCTACATCTCCATGTAGATTCAGAGGTACATGAAACTGGTTAACTAGAGTACAACTCGATATATAGATTAATTAAGACTAAAACATCGGATGTTACTGATCAAAGATCGATGAATTTTGTTTAACCAATTGCATTTCACTGGCACCATCGTGACATTGATAATGCCCGAATAGCTATTAGGTTTGATTTAAATAGAAAAATGGAGATACAGAATTCTTTTTCCTTCGAAGGTTTTCATTCGACTCCGTTGTTAACACTAGGTTTACGGACGCTATCTGTATACCTATTTCTACATATCTGACACCTGTCAAATTGACAAGTAAAGGAAACCACGTGTCTTTTTTTAACGATTAGTTTAATTTAAAAAGAATTACAATATTAACAGTCTTAATATAAGTTAACTAAATCTATTACCATCGTATAATTGGAGTTAAACACTAATTAACTATTGGTGTTAAACACTAGAGTACTTAAGAAGTTAAATTTCTTATCATGTACGTGTTCTACGTTATTACGATGAAAATTTTCTACGTTATTACGATGAAAATTGTAGATGACGAACGAATGTTCGTCACGTGTACAGATCTCTGAGACTTCTTTGCGTCGATATGGATCAATTAAGACTGCGATCCAGGTGGAACAACCCTCGAAATTATTTCTGATCTTCACGAATACCACGTACAACCCGAAACCATCCGCCAGAGCTAGTAGGTATTAATTTCGGAAAAACGGGGCACGAAATCATGACTATTAGAGAGCGAACAGGGCCGTGATAGGATCACGCGAGGACCGGGGTTAAAGCACCTTTAACTTTGCTGTTCTCTCTATTCAAATGCGTCACACGTACGCGAGAAAGCACACGTGTGTAATCGTCGCTCTTATGGTAGGCTCGTGATATAGCGAGGCTGTGAATCAAAGCAAAGAGCGGCTCATAGTGATGCAGTGACACGAGGGATCGCATATGATACTCTTTTTAGTAATAAACCAAATGCGAGGTATACTTCGCGCAGCCTTAACTGCGCTTTCGTGCTCGTATCTATTCGCGTTTAAAATAATTAATTAAGGAATAATCGCATTTACAGATAACGAACCATGCTTACCAACATTCTGGGATCTACTCTATTGCGATGGAAGTAGAACTTAAAACGATTTCCACGTTCAGAAAAGAAATTCGGAATGGTGGAAATTCGAGTGGAGGATTTTTCGATCCATCATCAGGAGGTTTCTTGATAAAAATATCGCGAAATTACCGGGAAAAAATTTCGCAGTTCGAAGGCAATAAAAATCTAGTAACAAAAACGGCCCCGGAAAGCGAATTCTAGTGATAAAAAGAGCAGTGCGACGACCGCAAAAAAGGGATTGCAGCGATTAAAAAATTACCAAAAGAGTGCGCGAAAGTGAGTTGCAGTAATAAAAAGACTGGAAAAAACGTCATAGAAAAAGCAGCATACAAAAATATTAACCCTCATCAATCGTAAATCATCTCTCACGTGGTAACAGTACTTTGCGGTCATTAAAGTTGATGACAGTTGACAAGACGGAAATCTTTCGTATATTTAACGAAACCAGCTACAACCTAATGAGAATCACGTATGAAAAGCTAGTGAAGGGGTAGTGAAGCTAAATGGTTAAGAAAAGAACAGCAATAACAAACAAAGTGTCAAGAGGGGTCATGGTAATAACAACAGGCATATCGAAAACCAAATTTTAGATGCACGTGAAAAAACGTACCTGTGCAGAATACAAGCACATCGAGGAACGAATTGCAGCTGCAGAAAAATGGGAAAAGAAGAAATAATTCAAGGCCATTGAAAATCTCTACATGATACGCTATCGTCTTACTATAGTTACTCGCGTCACGCCAAGTGTTACCCGATAAAATGAACCAAAAATTCGTTCGACCGTGGTTCAAGCCTGAAACCGGATGTTTCCACTAAACCACGGGACTGAGGGAAAATCCGCAAACGGAAATCGCCGATAGCGTAGCGACGCGCGTTTTTCCGATAGATCCTCCGCGGCAGGATCTGATAATCCCGCGAGGAAGTTCGTTCAATGTCCCTGGAAATTCCAGCCCGGAGGAACCGAAGTTCGTGACAGTTAACTCGGTGTTATCGGTTTCCCTTTCCAAGATCTTTTCCCGCGAATTAGCAATCCCATCTGCTCGGCCGATTTGAATGGAACTGCCGTCGTCGAATCGAAAAACCATTCGCGGTTTAAGCGGACCGGGCTCGTTGTTTCGTGGCGAAGATTAAATTGCTGTTTGAAGATCGTTGCCAAGATAGGTTAACTCGTTGATCGATGGACGATGAAATCGGTGGGTTGAAGCAATCGGGACGCCTATGAGGACCCGGCTGGTCTGGTTGATCATGTCTGGGTTGTACGGAGATAATTGTGTCGCGAATATTTGGTTTAGGTATCTGTTAACCCTTTGCATATGAAGATTTTTTCGTTGGAGAAAAATAGTAATTCGAAGACTTTCTGCCATAAAGTCGACGATATTTTTAAAACGGTGAATAAGAAATCGTATGCAAATTAAGACGTAAAATTATTTTGCTTCGATATCCCACGCATCGTTGGCTAATTGTAAATTTGATATATTAACCCTTTGCACTCGAGAGGCGCCTCTCAGTCGCCATTTAATCACATTTTAAAGATCGATGTTAACTAATATATCAAATCTAAAATTACTCAACGATGCGTGGAATGTCGAGGTAAAATAATTCGAAAAAGAAAATTTTGGAATTTTATTTATGAATTATTATTACTAATTTTTGCACGATATTACGAGTTCGTTCATATTATTTATATCACTGCAATTAATCGAGTGCGACAGATTTCGTTTCTATTTTCCATAAACCGAGAACGCATCGATTAACCGGATAATCGGTTCACTTAGCGCGAGAACAATCGAGGAACCTGTTACGGAAAGATCTATGTATATGGAAATTCGGGCAGAATTTGACTCGAGAGGATTTTTGTACGGATTCGAGTATAAAAGCGATAGGTGCACACAGGTCATGCACGGTAAAACCCGTTTTCGATTCATGGGGCGTGAAAAAAGAGCTTGCGTGGACCAGACGGAAGAATCTTTGTGCCGTCGATGAAAAGGACGAAAAACGAATTTGTCGTTTCGTAAACAAGCCTACGGAGTTTGCCCAGTTGTCCCTCCTCCCAGTCTTTAACGCTGGTAAATATGATACCTTTTCCTTTGACACAGGGAACTGAATTTAACGGGGTCAGAGGTAGTTGTCCACACGGATACGAACGAGATCTCTCTGACGAATTTGAAGGTGTCTTCGAGCAAAGCCGGGGACAGTCGCGCGAGGACGAGAAAATATGGTTTCGATTACTGTTTCGACTCGTCGGATCCAGGGTCACCGAGTTTCGCGGACCAGGCCAGGATTTACCACACACTTGGCCGATCTGTCCTGGACGCTCTTTTCACTGGCTATAACTCCTGTTTGGTGGCGTACGGGCAAACTGCGTCTGGGAAAACCTACACCATGATGGGAACCAAGGTATACTCGCATTAACACTAGAACTACCAATTTTATTTCTCAAGGAAGCTATGTGTTTCTTCTAATGCTTCTGCTGAGAGACTGACCGACCCCTCTGAGACACATCTGCAACTGTACCCGCTTCTGAGAGAGTGTCATGAGGGTACGCGACGGGGTTCACCCAAAGCCCCAATTCCAATCGAATTTTTATTCAAGCATTCGTTCTAGGAACTTATATCTTATAAACTAGATTGATCTTTGACTACAGCTAAACTTATCTTTTCAACAGCTAGGATGAGAAATAGAGTATAAAATTGGTAAAAATGTTTCGATTTCGAAGAGCTCCCCAATTGTCCGACGATTTAATTATTCCTACAATGGCTGCTCTTCCATCTTCTTTTTTTTCGCTGTTTTCCGCCACTAGGGTGCAAATCGGTAGCACGTTTCGTATTTTACCGTGGCAGGATCCCCCGCGAGATGGTAAATCGGCAAACGATCGTGTGTCGCGGGCATAATTCCAAACGAGTTAACAATTTCCACGGGTAGCACACCCTCTAATTGGCGGGCAACGTAGGTGCGCCCTTTTTTCCGGTTTCTCGGCAAATTTCGACCAGTAAATTGAAACTGTTTTTGCCGGTGGACGCTTAATTAAATTGCCCCGTGGCTTCGCAGCCGATCGCGGCCGCATTACAAGAGGGACAAGGAGGGACAACGAGGAACGACGAGGATTTTTTTAAAAGCGAAGCACGTGTTGCGGTTATACGTCGAGCACGTTCAGTTTCAATTATGGGAACGGAGTCGTTCGATCGCCGCGGGACATTCCGATGACCGATAGTAGTTAACGATACGTAATTTTTCCGTGCGACTCGGCGTGCTCGTTTTTTGGAAACGGCACAGAGGAACGGTTAACGATGTTCCAATTTTTCTTCGTTTTGCTCGCAGGAGGACCCGGGACTCACTCCGCGCCTCTGCGAGGGCCTCTTCGCGAGGATCGAGGAAGAATCGAAGAACGAGAGCAACTATGTCGTTTCTGTCAGGTAAAGTCGATGGAAGTTCAAAGCGATCGTGTCTTGTATACAGGGTGGACCATGTAACGCGATCACCTTGGCTATCCTCGATCATTTGGTTATCGGAAAAACGACAGAGAATTATTTTACCGTCAATGGTAGGATTAACGAGAACGGATAACGAGAGGATAGTAACACTTGATTTTTGTTGAACGTATTGCTAACGTCAAGAAAGATTGGTGCGTTAACCCTTTGGTCTACAACCATGTCAGGTTTTCGAGCCAAAACTGATTATCACGAGCCTGGCCCGTGGTACATAGGTCGGATCAAAATTGACTATCACGGGCCTGGCACGTGGTACATCGGTCGGGTCAAAATTGACTATCACGGGTCTGGCACGTGGTACGCCGGCTTGGCCAAATGTAAACACCACGTGTCACGCCCGTGGTTTATCGATGTGCCCCACTTCAATTATTAACTTTTATCGTTTGCTGTTTAATTTCATATATCATTTAATTTTAATCATTTGTTTTCAATTTTTCACTTGCATTTTTGGAATTTATTAAATTAACTTTGCCCGAATTATATTTTTCTAATAGGTACGACACCCCACGTAAGTCTTGTGCGATTGGTACAACTTAAGACAGATTTACCGAGCCGTGGAATGGCTCGAAGCCTCGGCAGTTCTGTTTACGTTTTGGGCCTTAAGTTAAGGGTTAAGAACGAAATCGACGAAGCTAGGTGTACTTACATCTTGTAAACCTCATGATTATATAAGTTCGTGACACTTGATTTTTGCAACGTTAACTGCGTTGCTCAAGTCAGAAACGATCGGGTCAAGGAAAGTGACGCGATTTTCAGCACAGCTTAAGTAAATCTGCAAAGAATTAGAAGGGCGAATCTGAATAAATCGTGTTGTAACAGTAAACCAGGTGTGATCCCTCGTTATTTACACTGTATAGAAGCATCTTCGGCGTGAATGGATAAGAACGTATCTACTTTTCACATCGAAGATTGAAATTCAATTCCTGCTACAGACATGTCACGCTGGGCCCTGGATAGAACTTAGAGAGTCATACAGAAAACGAAATCGATCGAGGTGGTCCACCCTATATATCTTGCGGCTAAATCCATTCGTAACAAAGACGAAGCATCTGTATGAATTACTAGATATTTATTTATTTTTATTTTTAATTTATTCCCTTTACTGGGAATAAATGGGTGATATAGAATTATTGCACACTTAATCTATAAATGTTTAAGATACGATATGACAGCGAGAAGGCCAGAAGATGTGGACTCATGGACTAAGTTCACGTTTTATTTATTTACTTAACTCTTAGAAAAAAGGAAAAAGGTAACGAAGATAACGCAATCGTCAAAAAACAAAGTCGAAACGTATGCGAGAAGTATAAACACCAGTGCGAGCTAAGTATCACGAAGGTAGTTTGCCTGCAGCTGGCAACAGATGCCAGAAAAACTCACTATTCACATAATTACAGAGCTTCGTGAAGGGGTTGCAATGTTTCGTGCCACTTCAAAACGTGTCAACATGGAAAGTCGTTTATAACAAAAAAGCACTTGAATCTTAAACTCTGGGTAAATAAAATGCAAACAATAGTCTCGAAAATAATAGTACATTTAAGATAAGACGCAAGATTAGAAAATTTAGGGAAGAAACTACATGGAGAATTGAATGTTTCACAAATTCCTCATTTATCGACGGATTTCTGTATAATTTCATCTATACATTCTCGATAGTCGTATTTTACTGTAAACCATTTTCGAAGTACCTAGCTCAACTCGTTTGACAACAATTTGAATACTTCAATTATCGAAAGTTTGGTCTCAACGTTGGTATTCGAACATTTTCACGAGCCACTGTGTATGCATTACGCACTTAAAAAAACTGTCATTATTATATATGCATAATCTTGTTCGCACGGTCCAGCGTCACACATTCACGACAGATGGAAAAACGGGAAAACTGTGTCATTCCTGCAAGGTAAAGGTGATGGAAGTTAGCACGTACATTCGCTAGCAGCTAGTAGTCGCATACACGCGATGCCTCGATCCTCTTTTCAGAGAATCTCTTTGAGAGCTCGAAGTCACACACGTGTGACACATTGGAAAATTTACTCTTGTTCGCATTTACTAGATTTTGGTACGACTACGCGATATAGTTTGCATTATATTTATCAGAAGTTGGAGAAATGGAGCACGACCTGCAACGGTGGTCGCATAACGATGTTAATCTCCATTATAAGATAATATGCTTACGACGAGTCAATTATCTATAGGTAATTTCTAAGCTCGAGAGACCTAGTTTTTGACATCCTTCGTATTGGGCTCAAAATTTCGCGGGAAATGTAAATACGAAACGTCGAGTCCCGTGGAATATTCACACGTTCTCGTATCACTCACACGTACCGCGATTCGAATATTCGGTTTACGAGCAAGCACGTGAAATTTACTCGAAGCCAGCTGAACGTGGGGATGCGAGGAAGCGGCGATAACGCGCATCCGGATTGATAAGTGTGGGAATTTTGCCATTCGCGGCGTCTTTTCGCGAAACGGCGCGCATCGACGAGCCATACGCCGATAGATGATCAAGACATTGGCGGGGTGTCGGTCAAGGTCCGAGTGTGAGCTCGATTGCCGCCATTTTTGAACGACTGGCAGACTCGTGTCGTCGATCGTCCCGAATTTGGTTCGTCAATTGTTCCTACTTTGGCCCGTCGATAAACCCAATTTTCACTCACCGATTTTTCCCATCTTAGGTTATTAATTGCCCGATTTTAGCTCGCCTATTGTTCCTTCCTCGATCTCGTCGATTGTTCCGATTTTAGCTCGTCGATAACCTCAATTTTGACTCACCGATTTTTCCTTCTTAGTTAACTAATCGTCCCGATTTTAGGTCGTCTATTGTTTCTTCTTTGATCTCGTCGATTATTCCGATTTTAGCTCGTCGATAACCTCAATTTTGACTCACCGACTTTTCTCATTCTGGCTTTTTAATTATCCCCATTTTAACTAGTCGATCGTCCCAATTTCGACTCACCGATTTTTCCCATTTTGACCTATTAATAGTCCCGATATTAGTTCGTCGATCGTCCCGATTTCGACTCGTCGTAACCGATCCGATTGTCGACAAACTAATCCTGCTGTCGTACATTCCTTCGCATGCCAGCGTGATTATGGGGTTTCTCGAAGCCATTGTCGTCGAGCTGTTCAGTCGTACTAGTATTAAAGGGATGAGAAAGTTTATCGTCCTCTCTGTTACACTTCTCTCCTCGTCCCGAGTTTGTTGCAGCAAGTGGCGCGATATAGTTGATTAATTGACAATGGTAATCGTGGGTCTCGGGTACGGAAGGTGTATCTTTGATTTTAAATAACATTAGCCGAGACCAGGGTTTATCTACGAGCCGGGAAATCGTTTTCTTCGAACACCGTTGCAACGAGGCAAGTTCTAGCTCTTGGGAAACTCTTAATAGAATCTGTTCCGGAGGTAATAGCTTCCACCCCCGTGCAATTGATTCTCCTACCCCCCTTTGACCTTCCCTTTAGCGAATCGTAATCGTTATCTCAACACGTAGCTCTTTCATTCCGGTTATTACCGATAATAACGACGAGTTTCGACATCTCTCATGGAATTTCCTTCCAGCAAAAAGAAAATCAAATTTTCTCCCCATATCTTCAAAAAAATCACAATCATCACAGCCAAAGAGAGAGAGAGACACACACACAAACATTCTCTTTCAAACCCTGGAACAGAAACAGATAACGTACAAATATTTATCTCATTTTGTTTACGTATTTATCTAACCAGCAGAAATTCTTTAGCATACAGAGTTAAGATAATTAGGCAAGATAATTAATTTCACCAAGGACTAATTACAATGACAGGACTTACAAATAGAAAAATCCTCGGACGACTGACGATTCGCGAGAGAATTGGCATTAATCGAGTAGCGAAACAACGAGCCAGGGAAAATATTGTGTGTCGACGGGGTGGCTAGAGGCGGGGTGCAGCCGCTGGAAGGGGGTGGATAGACGTGGAAGTCGAGCTTAGGAGTCGCGAGCTTTGCTAGCGCCGTGTTGGCCTGGATGTGTCTTGTAAGCTCAGTGCCCCGTGACTCGCAATCCTAGGCGGACGTAAGCTCGCTCTACCTGGGTAAGAATCTTTTCCCTTGCAGAGCACCCTTTCGATATTCGCACCTTCACCCCACTGTACCGTTTCTTTCGATTCACCACCCTCGATCTCGCCTTCGACTTACCTCGATCTCGGTTATTTATTTTTTCCACCGTCCACCAGCCACTTATACGATAAAAGCTCAGCGAAACGATGCGAATACGTAGATAAATACGATTGCAACGTTACCGAGATTTGATCACGATTGCGACACTCGAGAATAGGAGGAAGATCTGTGATTTAGTTATAACAGATATCTTCGTTTCTAGAATTAATTAAGCGTTACTTATTTTCCTGTTTCATTCGCGAATTCATTCTTCTCATCGGTCAACTTCTTTCAAATTAATCTAAATCGCGATCCATTAAAATTTGCCATTTTCCTATGTACTTTCCGACGGAATCCAATTTTTCTCTCGGTTATTAAATATCATCGAGAGCTATGTTTGTAATTTTATTTCACAGTTTTGTATTATACTGAGCTCGATGTAACATATTACAGAGAAGTCAGTCGTTTCTATCAATTAATTTTAACGTCTGCTTCGAGTCTGTATCGCTATTCTATTCTATGTACATACATCGGGTAATTGGTTTTCGTTATTCAATCGTGATCCAGAGATCCAAAGATTAATCCTTTGCACTCGAGAGGTGAGCTTCAACCACCATTTCATAAAATTTGGAGGATCGATATTAATTAATACATCAAATTTAATGCAATATGACAGTGTGCGAGATATCGAAATCAAATAATTCTACAATTCTATTATTATAAAATTCTTTATTTACTGCTCAAAAAAGGATCGTCAATTTTTTAGTAGAGAATCTTTGAATTTCTACTCTT